AGTCATGCGCGTTCAATGTGAGATCGCGCAATGTCCAATTTAAAGAGGTAGTGAGGTTCCCTTGCAAGGGCAGTCTCAGTATGCACCCAAACGTTAAATTCAAATAAGCTTTTTCGGTCGAAAACCAAGATGTACCCAGTGCGGATATCTTTGAACCTAACAAAATCAACCCATTCCTCCGCCAAGAATATGTATTCACCTATCTGACTCATTGTTACATGATAGGTATGTCCTTCAACAGTTTTTAGAACGCAACGATGCGGTACAAAACGTTGGTATTCACTTTGCAACAGGGGGGGTATTCGCTTAAACAATTGAAGTAAAACATTGTTTCGTTAGATATGTGTATTACTCGTGGATAAATGTAAGAGTGGGTTATTAAAATTTGTATAAAAAAAAAATATATGAGCTCACCAGGTTGGGTTGTTGTGCATCAAACATAATTTTAACGAATTTTGATAGTCGGCCAGCCATCAGATTGTACCTATGCATAATTCAACAAAGTGCAAATTCATAAAAGAATTCATCTTGAGAAAGATTTGTTAACACGCATTCAGTGAATCACACTATTATATATCCTACTCTTTTTTTTCTCCAAACGAACAAATTATATTCAACTCATAAAGGTAGGTGACCAACTGGTTAAACACCCACAACCTGAAAATGCAACAAAACATCACAGGCTAAAGCTACTCAGTATATGAGACTGTTCACCCTCTAAAGCCATCAAGGGTAGATCATAACTAGGAAAAGAAGAACAAGAAGAAGGTAGTACGATACAATCATCAAAGCTAGATACAAGTTGAGACAACATCTCCAACATAGCAACTGCAAAAGGTCTGACCCATACTCAAAGAAGAGATTTAAGTCAAATCAGCAAGACTTATTTGGCTTTTCCATCAGAAATTTGAAGAATTATAATTCAACATAAGAGAGTAGTAAATTCATAACAATGCTCATTACCCACAATGAACGAATGAAAATGAACCATTAACTAATATCACACAGATTTCTTACCAAGTAAAAGTTCCAAGATACTCAAGGTCGACGCATACATTTCGAAATTAAAACTCAAATTAAAACATCCAACACAAACATTCATCCACAAATGAGTAATACAAAAAAAAAATCGATACTGAAGAACCCTAGCCAGATTTCTCAAGTTCCCAAAATAGAATATCTAAACACGAAAAAAAAAATCGAGGTTCTACCATATAACAATAACATTCAAACCTAGATTTAAATTTGAACGAGTTACCTATACGATTAAAAAACGAGAGTACCTAGAAATCGAGAGTCGAGTTCGAAAAAGAGGATTGCTCGTTGCCTTGGAATTCGATAGCAGGTCGTCAATTTGAGTGGATATTTTGATGTTTTGGTTGCCTAATTATGAGCTTTTTTTGGGGGTGGGTTGTTTAATAAAAATAATAATAATAAGTGGACAAAAGTAAAGTAAAAAAAATGTGTGGCCAAAAATCAAACGGACATCTTTTTGGAAGACGTTTTTCTAATAAATAAAATATTTCCGACAAAATAAAAATAATAATTATACTATAATCGAATTCAAATCTATTATAATCGAGTAGAATCTAGTATAATCGAGTCAAATCTGGTATAATAAAAGTCAAACTAGTATAATCGAAGTCAAACTAGTATAATCGAATTCAATTATACTATAGTCAAGCCAAAACTAGTATAATCGAAGCAAATGATACTATAGTCGAGTCAAATCTAGTATAATCGAGTCAAATCTAGTATAAATGTAGTTAAATCTGTATAATAGAAGTCAATTATACTATAGTCGAGTCAGATCTATTATAACCGAGTCAAATATAGTATAATCGAAGTCAAACTAGTTAGTATAATCGAAGTCAATTATACTATAATCGAGTCACCTATACTATAGTCGAGTCAAATCTAGTATAATCGAGTCAAATCTAATATAATTGTAGTCAAATCTGTGTAATCGAAGTCAATTATACTATAGTGGAGTCAGATCTAGTATAATCGAGTCAAATATAGTATAATCGAAGTCAATTATACTATAATCGAGACAAGCTAGTATAATCGAGTCAAATCTAGTATAATCGAGACAAATCTAGTATAACTGTAGTCAAATCTAAATAATCAAAGTCAATTATACTATAGTCGAGTCATATCTAGTATAATCGAGTCAAATATAGTATAATCGAAGTCAATTATACTAGTTTGACTTCGATTATGCTAGAATTGACTTCTATTATATTAGTTTTGACTCGATTATATTATAATTGACTTCGATTATACAGATTTGACTCGACTATAGTATAATTGACTTCGATGGCTCCTAGTTTGACTTCGGTTATACTAGTTTGACATCGATTATACCAGATTTGACTCGATTATACTAGATTTGACGCGATTATAGTATAATTGACTTTGATTATACAGATTTGACTACGATTATACTAGAATTGACTTCGATTATACTAGTTTGACTTTGATTATACTATAATTGACTTTGATTATACTAGTTTGACTGCGATTTTGTGTGGATAACTATAATTTATAAGTTATTTAATCATTTAATTACAAATACTTATATTATGTTCATTTTACTAATGACATTATCTTATAAAATGTGATACTATTAGTTAACTTATAATTTTATTATTATACACAAACACATAATTTTTTGGTTATATTAATTTAAATCTCTGTACATATGCACAGGGTTAAATACCAGTATCCGTGTAATACATGGTAAGGAACTAGTTTATCAATATATATGAAATATATATATGTGATGTATTCATAACTTGTGAAATAAATGAAAAAAAATAAAATTAACATATGTTTATTGGACCGAAAAATATACATATGTCTATCAATATATCTCCTTCCTTACTATTTCTCCCTCACACTCACACACGAGGTATCGGCAGCTTTTCTTCCTTCCTTTTTTTTTTTGGGTACAAATTTTCTTCCTTCCTTTCACAGATAAAAAATATTCCTTCCGTTTCAAACACCCGATAATCTGGGAGATTTGAGGGTGATTCGCCATTCCTAAACAGAAAAGGGTTTTGGAGCGATAAAGATTAAATTTTTGGTGAAAAAAATGGTTGGCGGGCATCACAATTTTCGTTTGCCGCTGCAAAATTTTCATTACTTTATATCTCCGTCATCCAAACCGACGATGCACAACAGAGAATCGAGGGTCTTGTTCTTCGATCAACAATTAGTACATCATCCTGAACTTTGGCCTGGTAAGTGAATTCGATTGTTGTGAGTTTTAACTAGTGTTTATTATAGATTTTTAATACATGTTCTTTATATATGATTTTGGATTTTTATTTAATATCTGGAATGTAAATAATAAACCTTACTGGTTTTCAATACCTGTATTATCTATGTTAGAGGTGAATCGAGCAATTGGACTAGGTGTCATTATGTTTAAAGTTTGAATTTTTTTTGGAGATAACATAGAATTTTTGTTTTCACCTTGGTAAATTCTGAGTTGTTTAAGAGGTTTTTACATATAGGAGTTCGATTTTTTATAGGAGTTCGGTTTTTTATGATTTTGAAGTAGTCTCCTGGATTTTATTATTGCTTGAATGCTTGATTTGTGTTGCCGTAAAAACATAGTGTCCAACCTAATGATTTCCTCTGCTTTCTCTTTTGCTTTCGATATTCATGTTGCTATTCCAAGCGATCTCTTTGCAGCTCGTCCATCTGTGTCTTTATTTGAAATGGTGCAAATAACTTTATGTGATTAATTTATAGTTATGACATCAATTTTAATATGAATGCTAATACTATGAATTTATTTTATTTTGTAAATTGAGGAAATGGCTCCTGGGGTTAAGCATAACAAGAATACGAGATTCAATGCAAAGTCGAATCAAGTTCCCCCAGGATTTTTGTCCAAACAGGTTCATTCAGATCCAGTAAGGGAAATCAAAGGAGTACTACCAAAACCCAGTACTCCATCTAAAGGCAAAACAAATGGGAAGTCACCCGCTCCAAATGAATCAGATGAAGAAAATCAAGTTACTGAAAGTGACTCTATTCCCCATAACAATGTCATGCCATCTACTCAAGAGACAGTTGTGCCAACTACACAGAACACACTCATTCCATCTACTCAAGAGACAGTTGTTCCACATACACAGGAAACACTCGTTTCAGCTACTCAAGATTCTAATAATTCAAACTCCGTTGGTCTTCTCAACCAGTCAAATGAGAGCAATCAAACACCTGATACAACTGATTCCCCAGGTAAACATTTCCAGATTTTGACAAGATGAATTTGCAGCAATAATATCATGATAATTACAATTTGTTAGACAGTCAATGATTCTTCTAAGTTCTTTGTTTTTAAATGTTTGAGTAGAACAGTGGGAATGTAGGATAATCCTTAATAAAGAGGACTGGTTGTGTATGAGTATAAGTGTTATAATATGTGTTTGCTTGTCTATTTTTGAAGATGTTGAGATAGTTTTAATTTATCAATCATAACTTCAAGTTCTTGACATGAAAAATGACATAATGATCTTGATACAAATGTCTAATTTATGTATACATTATTGATCATTTGGCTGAAATTGATATTTTTGTTTTCATTTTGGGTTGGATATACGTGATGTTGTCGTTCATGTACAGGTTCAGGTTCATCTTCAAAGAAAAGAAGTCGTGGTTAGACAATGGGGAAAGGGATATTGAAGAAATTTGCTTCTACGGGACATAAAATAAAAATTAATGTGGATCCTTTCGTAGGAAGACCGATAAATGGTGAGCAGTCCGCAAAACTTTCAACTCAAATAGGCATAGTGACACGAGAAGTACTTCCAGTTCCCAAAAAGTGGAAAGACATTGATGAGGAAAAGGATTTGACACCAAGCTTTGATCATATGCAGGTTTGTAATTCTATAAATTCTTATAAAGATTAATCGAGTTTGATCACAATTTAACCCCATTTTATTTTGTTTTGTTTTGTTTTTTTTTTATTTACATGCATCTAGATGTTAATATTGATGTCCCTGGAGTGAAACAATGCTTGATTGAAAGGATGAAATGTAGTAGCCGTCAGAAAAGGTACAAGTTGCATATGCATTATAAGAAGTTTGCTTCCACTCAAGACGCTAAGGCAAACAAACCAGCCTTTTGTCCGAGTCAGGAAACTTGGGAACAGTTGTGTGACCATTTTGCGAATGCACATTATAAGGTAATATGTCCTTTATCAATTAAAATAAAGGAAGAAATAATTTGGTATGCCATCATATGAGTTATTTCATTATTGCAGCGCATAAGTTATGTGAATGGGGGAAATAGAAAAATGTTGCGAGCCCCACATATCTCTGGAAGAAAACCATTTACAGTTCGGCGAAATGAGATTCTAAGTTATCTGACACTTTGTTTTCAAATTAAATAATGTATAATCATATAATATATCAAACAAGTCTATAATTTTTATTTGTAAAATAACAAGTGTTCAAATTTCATGGAAACACTGTTGTCAGTCTGAGAAAAGCTAAATGGAGATCCATGTGATTGCATTGAGTTGTATAAACGCACGCATTTTTCAAAAAAGAAAGGGTGGTTGTAACGCCGCGTTTTATNTAAATGGAGATCCATGTGATTGCATTGAGTTGTATAAACGCACGCATTTTTCAGAAAAGAAAGGGTGGTCATCCACAGAAGCTGAGCAAAATTGGGTAATTAAATACCTGTGCTATTCTTAAAAATTTTATATTTGCATAGTTTTCATTAATATATATTTTATTTTACATGTTTTAATAGGCTTCTATGAAAAACACACAAGAAAAGTATGAAGGGGAAGGCACCTTAAAGAGCTCAGAAGAAATTGTCTTCGAGGTTCTTGGGCATGGAACAGGTTATGCTAAAGGAATTGGGTATGGTCCAAAACCGCCAAGTAAACGCATCAGAGCCTTTGACGTAGTTTCACAGCAAGTTCACAAGGATCTTCTTCAGACACAGCAAAAGTTACAAGAGTCCGTGTAACGCCCCGCCCTAACTTGATTATCAGAGTGCGTTTGTAAGATATCTTTTTAAAAATAGTTTAAGAATATGATTCGGAGCGTTACTAAAACATTTAATTTATCTTTAAAAATCCGTTACGATCATTTAAAATTTACAACAAAAACGGATTTACAGAATATACAATCCGACTATAAAATCGGATCAAAAGTCAAAGTTCGACAAACAGTGAAATCAGCGGAAAGTAGCGTGGCAAAATATACAA